GCCACTCCAAAACAACATAAGTATCGTAGCCAGAACTGCGGAGTTCCGGGTAGCTCGTGCGGGTTTTCAGGCCAAGTTTGCTTTTGGAAAGTTTGTGGAGTTTCAATGGAAGCTTTCTAGACTTGGCATACTCCTTGAGCTTGGAAGTCGCATCTGCCAGTCGATCCTTGATATTTGTTCCCAGCAGTATGCCAGGACAATCGGCTTTGTGCTTCACGATATACATGATGACCGATCCAGCAAGATCGCGACCACACCCTAGGTGCCATATATGTAGAAGGTCCGGCTTTATGAGCTGGGTCTCGAAGCCAGCCAGCCTTGTGTACGATGGCTTGATAGCCCATGGATCTTCAGTAAACATCGTTCTCCAGTAGGGAGCATCGGGGCTAATGTTCGAATAAGCCATTGGCAAGCTTGCAGCACTTAGGCCCTTTGTCGCAGAACACATCCAGCAGATCTGCACAGGGAAACAAAAACCATGCTTTGTTAATATAGCCTATGATTGTAAAGACCCGACCATACATCTGAAGTACTCACCACCAAGCCTCGAACCCCAATACAAACCTCGGTGCTTAGCTCCCCAGATAAATTGAAATTATCACCGAACAGCACTAGACCCAAAACCCTTCTCAACACTGCCTCGTCCCTGTCGGCGTATCTCTCTAGCGCGAAAGCTTGCTTCAAGGCCTTCCAATCGCCTCGAAAAGCCGCAACCCAGCAGCGGAGCCGGGCAGCCTGGGATCAGTCGAGTGGGTCTTGGGTTATGATGTCCATGCGAGGTTTCTTGAATATTGGTCTAGGGTGTATAGCCTATAAGAGTTACTGTTAAAAGGATTGCCAAAGTCTTCCGGGTGACAACACTCTTGTCGGTAGGATCTCTCAGAGGAATTCCAACTTCGGACAATCGGTTGAAGCTTTCTGCAATGCATTTGCAAGCGGCTTGGATGGTGAGGTTGATCTGGCTTTCAGGGTGTATCACATACCGCTCTGCAGGAATAATTGCTATCAGCAGCCTTGAAGCTGCAGCATCAGTCAAGTAGGGGGATAGCTGCGAAGTCCACATCAAAAACATCCAGGATGTGTTGATTGCTGTAGCCTCATCACCTTGATTATTTTTCACCGGGAACACGGGATTGTTGTGTTTAGGCATCGGTACAACCTTTAAGTGCTAGCATAAGTTCTATATACAGCCCATAAGATCGTTGATGGCTACACCAATAGATATCATGCGTAACAACTGAAACGGATCACAAATCCCGCTCATGTTCTTAAACTGACAACTTGGTATCCTCAACAAGTGGCAGTACAGTGTACAGCCCAACGATAAACGTTGCAAGTCTGCATCCTTGGACACTGGATGCTCAGGATGATCTTTGCAGAACTGCGCCCAGTAGCGGGGGATCTCAGCGAGATCCGAGACCAAGGCATGTAGGTGGCCCTGGTTCACGATGGTTTCCACCTCGGTTGGAAGTCGTTTGGATTCGGGTTAGCAAAACTTCTGGGGCCAAAAAGAGTTTAAAGTTTAAGGTTGTTCGATATATATGACCAATATATAGAAAGTAAGGGGTTAGCAACGACAGGAGTAGCTATGTGGGCCTAGGATTTCTGAATTCTTTGAGAAGCCATATCGTGTGGCAAAATGCATGGCCAATCCTCCCACACAATGGTGTTGTCATCAGAAGCAGCTCTCAGAGGCAATTGCATTGAAGAGATTTTCACCGGTAGACTAATGTCCAGCGCCTTTGCCCGGTTGTGCACATCCGTCTCCCTGAGATTCCTTGGCTATCTTGTTTGCAATTGCAACAGACCACAATAAGAATTATTAATGTAAGCCCTAAACGTTAAAACGACAAACCCTAATTCATACGGGGCAAGCATCGATAGCAAGTCGCTTTCATAGACATCAGCCAGCTCGCCCGAATGTCTAATGGACGTGTAGCCTCAACCAATGCCACGAGCCACCCTTAGCTATAATGTCCCAATTCAAAACTAGTAACTAGTACAGCAGGACCTGGACCTGTTTCAGGGATAAGATAAGGGTACAGGGCCATATATAGTATTCCACATAAACTCAAGCAAGATGCGCTTCATCCAGTTTTGGTCGAACACGACGAAGATCATCAGAACCTGCGTGGGAGTTTAGAGCGGGATCTTGTGGGGGATTTAAGGGAAGCATTCTCCCTGCGTGCACAGCGAACTTTCGCACATGCCGTCGCACATCTATCCTCATGCTTCATCGATCGCTACAGCAAAACTGACACGAGGCTATGTGCACAGCCAGTGGATGCATTGCTGCTGCAATCACATCCGGACCCTTTCAAACATCCAGGCCTAAGGCCAGAGGTGCAATCGCAGGGCAACAGCGTATGATGTTGAGTTTCGGTGGGATTGGCAAATAATCAACGACAGTAGCTACAGCTTGCGTAAGCGGCTTTGCACATGGTTGCTTTACATACAGTGTTTGCATCTATGCACATCTTTTGGCTAGGACTAGGAGAGTCTTCAGGATTCAATTTTTGAGCGTAGAGACCTACAATAATTAGTTTCCAGGGCGCCTTGGGATTCAGCCCATGGAAGCACAGACTACAAACCCCAGTAAACATCATAATAGCTGTTGTATGAAACCTGTAATGGCTCAAGACCCCCTGAATGCCAACCATTGTATACTCGACCCTAAGAGACAAAGCTGACGCACACCACACCCCAAGCCCATGACCTTAAGCAGAAGTTTACTTGGACTAACCATCCCTTGCACTTGGCCACTGCTGGATAAAACCCGGCTCAGCTAGAGGTCCATCATCACTTGTTCTCCTTCTCCTTCTTGACCTGGGCCGCGACGGCACGTGCTTGAACACGTGTAAGCTTCGCAGCATCGACCTGGGCGGGAGAAGTTTGGACTATAATTGGAAAGGCTTCATTTGTTCTTACTTCAAGGTTGGCACGGTTTGCGACTTTGCATGATCTAATGGTGACGGGATGCCACACTTTCCGCTGTAGAAAGCGCTTCCGCTTGATCGTCCTCCGTCTCCAAGTCCTCAAACTCTTTGAGCCTGGGTCAGGAGTTTAACTAGGTATTTAATACGGCTACATACGGATCGCATACTTTGATTCTAAGAAGCGTCTCTAGCTGCTCCTTGAGATCCCGCTCGTGCTTGTGCATCTTCTGCCGCAACTCGTGATCTTTCGGGAGGTCTAAGGCCACAGAACCCAGATTGATCTCCCGCTTCAACTCCTTGCCTCGGGCACCACAGTCGGATGGGGTTTGGGTATTGATAGGTACATTAGATAGTATTGACAGCATATGAGATATGGTTTTGGGCAAGAGGCGGGCTTCCTCGGCCAGCTCTTTGTTGGTTCTTGGCGCCGTCAAACGAGATTTTGCCTTAGCCTTGCCTTTGGCCCGGGCATTTCCCGCAGTTCCACCTGTAGAGCCTCAGATGCCCATGTTGGATTCTAGTCCAACCTTAAACCTTAACCCTGAATTTAGAAGCCCCAACCACAAGCCATAAACCCTAAAGAGAAAGAGAGAGGGAGGTTGAGAGTGACTCTACACACGTATACCTATGTATGCATCCATGTGCATAGGTCCATACATATGCTTACACGTGCACATCGCATGCACAAATACAAATGTATAAGATACTCGTCACAGTCAAGAGTACTCATGTGTACTATATTACATATTATAACCAGACAACCGCTTGAATTTGCATGAAAACCACAGCATGAATCGAGCCACCACCGGCACCATTCTGCAGATCCCTGATCAAAGCGATCCCGGCGTCCTTGTTGCGATTGGCGATGGCCTGCATCTCCCGGCTGACGGGTTCCAAGCCCTGATTGCCTAGCATGGCATTTGCAAGCTCAGGCGTTGCCCGAAACCCGATGCGTGTCTGGAGGGCTTGCTTGGTGCTATCAGTCTCATCCTGCCGCATAGCAGTTTTCGTCCAGTACCGCACACTGTGCGGGTCTTCAGGGCAATCCTCGTCAGGCACCGCATTTCCCGGTTTCCGCACTGCAGCCTCAATCTTTTGCCTTGGATCCCAGAACCGATACTAATTGTAGGAAAGCATCATGAGCATGATGAGCCAGGGTAGCCAAAGGCAGGTTACATGTATACATATATAGCTCAGCATCGCACTCACTGAAGTTGCGCTGCACCATCTCTAGGACGGTGAGGCATTCCCAACTCTTCTTTCCTTTCAACTTCTTCGTCCGCTCGAGCAGCATCTCAGACTCTGCCGCGGCATAGTCTTTATTCGAAGCCAACCATGTACGGAAAGCTTTCAGCTTGTCCTAGAACATGCATGCTGGTTTAAACTTACTTGTTTTGCAGACACATTAGCATGTCATGAGTTGCTGCTTTATAAACCACGACTGCAGACAATGCTCCTCCTTGCTGGCATCCCACATGTTGGCGAGCTCGGGGTACTTCGACATACCATCACCCTCATTAAACTTTCGACCGAAACTCATCCACTCTTTGCGGTGGCTTGTGGAGTTTGCTGCTGCGAAGGCCTCATCTTCCGGCGGGGGTGGCGGGGTGGACACGGCGATCTTCACAGACTTCGGGGGTGGGGTGATTGTCGAGGCGGCATCCATTTTTTCCTCCTCCTCCTCCTCCTCCCCTTCCTGTTCCTCTGCATCGTCGTCCTGATCATGCTCTTGTTCCTCCTGCTCCTTTTCATCCTCCTCCTCCTGATCCTCTTCTGCTTCAAGCTGGGTTTCATCTACATCAGGCACCTTGTTTTCATTCTCCCCGGAAACTATTTTGGGAGGGAGGCGGAAAGACACCCTGGGTGGAGGCTTTGGGCTTGTTGCAGGGCCCGGGCTCGACTTGTCCAGGGCCTGCTTCATCTTAGCATTGGCAGCGACAAGTTCCTGAACCATGGTCTGCAGCTGTTCTTTGTCTGCCGACTCAGCAACCAGCTGCGAAGCAGATTCGTCCATCCTTAAGTTTGGAACCCCGACAGGACTTCATATATTTCTCGACATGAGGATCAATCAGGGTGTGAGCCAAACCAATTTGTGCAACAAAGCAGCCCATCGAACAATTCCGCCAGGTTTTCATCCTGATGTTTCACAGGTGTGGCTGCCCGGCCAGCATCCGCCATCCTGTTCGTCATCTTGATGCCAGCGATCAAAGTCTTGCATGACCTCAGCATGCCAAAGCACACACTCACATTTGTGTATATATAAACATATACACATACATAAAATGGACAAATAGATAGGTAGATAGATCCAAATGAACGGTTTTATACTGGCACACTTTTATTTGCCCACCCACCCGGTACTCACTCGCTCACTTTCTCTCTCTATCTCTCTTTGTCTCTCCACTCTCTCTCTCTCTCTCTCTCTCTCTCTCTCTCTCTCTCTCTCTCTCTCTCTCTCTCTCTCTCTCTCTCTCTCTCTTTATCTCTCCCTCTTCTCTCTCGCTCTCTCTCTCTTTCTCTGTCTCTATATTTCTCCCTTTTACTCTCGCTCTCTCCGTCTCATTCGATCATTCACATGCATGCAAACCGAGTCTGCACATCCCTGAACACAAGATGTACATTCATGGGGAAAAACAATCTGAGAAATGAAAAGGGGAGGACGAGAGACAGAGAGAGATGGGGAGAATCAAAGAAATTTTTCGAGGTTTGTAGAGAACAAGACACTGAAGAAGAATCATAGATAAGCACGGTGGAAGAGGAGCAGGAGAAAGACCAACATCAGGTCAAAGCGAACCCGAAACAAACTCATGGGACAGCTAGGGTGCTGCAACGAATCCATCCGCTTCAGCTTGAAAGCCTCTGGTGTGCTCTGCTCCTCAAAGCTGTTCTGCAGGTTCTTGGGCGACGGAGCCTTTACAGACATTTGATCTCTGTACTGGTATCCTGGGTTAGAACTTATAACAGAATGCAAGAAAAACGCTGCGCACAACCAAAGCCCAGAACAGCTTTACAGAAAAAGTGCACAACAAGTTTTAATTGCAGGTGGATGACCTTTGTAGGGCTGGCAACAGCGACTGGCTTTGCTGGGGTTGCTGCTAGGGCCTGGGGGGGGGGACCTGTTTTTGTTTCCTCCTCACTCTCCCCTTCATCCTCCTCCTCATCATCATCGTCATCCTCTACCTCTTCCTCTTCATCAGGCTTAAGGCTAGCATCCTCCAGCACTGGGCCCGGATGACGTGAGCTGCCCGGCGCGTAGTCGGGTATGTTACCGGCAATCTCTTGAGGACACGGCCCCAACACATCCTCAAGGGCTGCAGCAATCGAAGCCGGGGTTTCATCATGCAGCTCCAGTACCTTCTTCAGGACCTCATCAAAGCGTGCCCACGAGACCATCATACCGAGATCGTTGTCCCAGAACTCCTGCGTATCCGGCTCCTTCTCCTGTTCGGCTGCTTGTGGTTTTTTCGCGCGTACACGACTCGCGGGTGGCTTGGTGTCCGTGGATGCTGCTTTGGCTTTTGGCCGGCCCTTTGCTTTTGCCTTGCCCTTTGGCGCCTTGCTTTCCTCGGTGTCCTTAGGGCTTTCCTTGGGTGGTGCTGCGGTGTCCTCAGGCGGTGGCTGGCTTTGCTTGGGTGCTGCTGTGGTTGTCTGCGTGCTTTCCTCCGGTACTGCTGCCCGAGCTGCGTTACCCTTCTTGGCCTTGGGTGGTTTCTCGGGCTGGGCCGGTGGCGGCGAAGGTTCATCGCGGTGGGAGGCCGGGGTACTCTTGGTTTCCACATGAGCTGCTGATGCCTTGCCTTTCTTTGCAGATGCAACATCAGATCCTAGATCATCATCTGCCTTCCTCTTTAGCTGCTCACCTTTGTCCTTGGGCTTCGGCCCGGGCTTTCTCTTTTGCTGCTGCTCCTGGGGTCCCTGGCTGCTTGATCCTGGTTCTACCTTGCTCCTCTTTGCTGCAGGGGCTGCATCTGCACTACTTGCTGCAAGGCCGAGCTTTTCCATGACTGCATCATATGCAGCCTGCTCGGCAGGATCTGCCGCCTTTTTGCCCATGGTCGGGAAAGCGCTTTCCCTAGATCTCTAACTGCGTTCAGCCTCAAATTCACAGCACACTGTCTCATTTCACGTGCACGATCGCACATCTGTGAATTCACGGTACGAGTGTGATTTCACAACCTAACTCACACAACACATGATTTCACACAGAACCCTCGAGGATCTAACGTGCTAGTTCACACAACACGTGAATTCACATACAGCAGTATGATAGGTGTGCAAAAGTGTGTCATGCGTGAATCACAGAATTCACGGCGTCACGTGTTCAAGTAACAACTTTTCACGTTCAAGTAACGCTTTTTCACGCTGAACTTTGTTGTTAGTGCTTTCACGACATGCAGCACAATCAAGCAGAGAAGACCGCATTTTGCAATTCCAGGCTGCTCCCCGCAGCAAAAGCGTGCCTATCCTCGATGGTAGGCTATGCAGCGAATTGCACATCGCAGCATCTGTGAATTGAGCTACAAGAGCCCCATAGTCTTCAGTGTCCGATCCTGAGCTCACCCATTCTAGCTCCGATCTGTGACCCGGGATACTTCAAATCATATTTTGTGCCAGGTCACCCAGTGGCCCGGCGCCTCGACATGCTTGGCATTCAAGTAGTACAGAATGCTCGGAAGCTCAGCCTGGGCTGGGTTTCACACGTGAATTCCGGTTTGTATCTAGCTTCGATTTAGAACATTAATTCTAGGATTAGGTCAGGCAGCATCGTCCCAAATATCACCCAGGAGGTAACCCGTTTTTGTCACATAGTGCTTCACAAAGAGTTCATGGTCTGTCATACTGGGATCGATGTTCGGCGCCGTGCTGGCAGTGAGGGGCTCGAAGGGCTCCTGGGCAAGAAATCTGTGAAACAACCCGCGTGAAACCAGAATTCACGAAAGTACCTGATATGATATGTATATACATATTTATATGCTAATAGCTACCTATATACGATTGCATACGGTTGCTTCTGAATACATACTTTAAGTAGCCATGCAGTCATATGACGATACGACTGCATATTTGGGGACCCCGTCACCCACAGCACCCCTAACTTTACACTTTATACCCCTAAGCCCACCCCAACCCCCCAATTCACTCTTATCACGATATACGACTGATCCCCTAGAACCACCCCCCCCACATGACCCCCGCACCCATCACCCACCACATCACCCCCCACCTAAAAGGAAACATAGGCTTGGAGAAGCACGAGCCTCAGGGGTCGGATGTTTGGGTTAAACCTAAAGTTTTCGAGTTCTGGTTTTATCAATCATGGCCAGAAATTGGACCCATTCTAGGGTCTAGGGTGACCACAGTATTTCTGTATAACGGACCTCGTGATTAAGTATAGTCTCTCTAAATTTGCACTTGAAAAGAAGGGCTCAAACAAGCAACAGTGGAATACCTCTTGTGCTAAAACCACCATGGTCTTAATATTCGGCGAAGTCATTAACGTTTACAACACCCACGGTAAACTCAAAACACCCTATATAACGAAAAGCCAACTCGAGATCCCAACACTTCAAATTAGACATATATACAGTATAAGCCCTGTAACCCAAAACCCCAAAGCCTAAACCGTCGCCCCAGAGCCGTCAACAGCCCCTAGTGATCGAAGGGTTGCTATGCGCCCAGTAGGTTTGGGCTTATAATTAGCTCAAGCTTTCTATGGTATCCTGAATTCAATCGGCACGGGTCTGTTGGGAGTCCCTGCGAAATCCAATCCAATCTTAATGAGGTTAAGAATGAGGCTTTTATGGCTAGTTTGGTGGCTAGTTCATGCTCGAGGGTGGGGGTGTTCATCGAATTACAACTGGCCTAACTAATGTAGTTCAACTGAGGTAATACATGCAAACACTCTATATATATGCCATGATAGGCCCGCCTTCATGATTTCCACAAAGTACTTGGCCAGGAAATCACCAAACTCACGAGTGTACTGCCTGGCGAACAGGAGCCGGCCGGGGTTCCATGTCGGTTATAAACTTGGTCTGTGTCCTCTATATTCGGAGCCTAGTGGCTGTGATTTCTGTAGTTCCTTGGATTTGCCAGTGTGTCGCTTCACACCGTTCTTATCTTCGTAGTGGTTGGCCAGCCGACACGGCAGTCGGCTCATTTGCTCCCGAGACATAGATCCCGCTTTTTCTGTAATGGCATCGATAATGCCCTTGCAGTTTGACCAAACCCGGTGCCGCTTCGGTGAGGGACCATTAAATAGACCCATCCAGAAAGATCCTTCCCAGACCTGTGCCAAGGATTGGTTCTTCCAGGGTTAATAGACAAGAGCAGCTAGACATCAGTATTGCGAAACCCGACCTGAAAAGTACGCCAAAGCTGTTGGTAGCAGGGCATTTGAGGAAGAAATGATCCATCGGGCTGCTCCAGGATCCAGCGGAGCTTCAGGTAGTGGCACAAATGGATCACCAAGGCGATTCGACTGGACAGCACATTGCCACAGCAAACAAACTCATGCATCAAGTTTCCCCAGGGTCGGAAAACACTTCGACCTGTAGTGCCCCGGGACCTGAGATGCTCTCTAGTCTCTAGCTACATATGTTTGACTTTTGGGACTGGGCGCCAACATGAAAGGCTATGTGCATCATGGGGGCATGAGACAAAAGCTACTGCAGTCCAGAGCAATAACCACCAGTGATCCCGGTTTGCATCGCATCAGCTCGACGATCACCAAACTTGGATTCAGCAGAGAATGCAATTATGAACAGTATGCGGATTCCGATCACAGAAATCTCTGAAAATTCCAGCGAAGTTCCAGAATCCTCCGCTTTCCAGGAGATTCATGGCGTGGGGCTCGTAGTCTTTGTCGACGGAAGCTCCACGAAGGCACGCCTGGGCTGAGTAAAGGTCCGTTATATGTATGGAAGAGGTTGAATTCAGGGTAAAGGGTTTAGATCAAAGGGATGCCTATACTGTAATCAAGATACCCTTCGTAGTGCTGCTGATACTTCCGCCTTCCCAGCAAAGATTTCCAAGAACTCGCGGTCCTAGAGGGTCGCTTCTGAAAGCAGGGTAGGTATGTGTATATACACATAGTTCTACATTCACATGAACCTATATACATATATATATATATATATATATATGTATATGTATATACTTATATGTCTATATCTGAAAGATTGTATTTCTGTAGATGTCTATGTGTGCATGCATGTATGCATGCATGCACGAGTGCATGTAGGTGTGTGTGTGTGTGTGTGTATATGTGCATGTATGTATGTATGTATGTATGTATGTATGGATGTATGTATGTATGTGTAGATATACGTAGATGTACACATACACATACACATACATATACATATACATATGCACATATATACGTATAGGTATATGTATACATGTATACATATACATACATATGTATATGTATGAACACATACACGTACACAACGATAGCTTTCTATCTTTCTAATATTGCTTTTTCAGTCCGGTGCATCTGTGTGCAAATGGGAACCTTAACCTACTTTGTGGGGGTTGGGTATTAATTAAGTGCTCATGCCTATTTGGACCCGTCAGAACCCCAACTAGCGATTATGCAGACGATCGTTTGCACCGCTATAATTTGTTTCATTCTGTGCACTAGCTCCTATATCCCACCACCATCCCCGGATCTCCACCAGGACGATAGTAGTGCGAAAGTAGATAGCTAGCGAGCTAGCCGAGCGACGACCAGACGGACAAGCAACACAGCTAGCACGGACGTTCTTTTGTCTGGAGTGGCAACTATCCCAGGTTGCCTGGAGATAACTGATAGCCTTCGGCTATCTATCCCCAGGGTGGGCAGGGTGGGTACTTCAAAATTACCCCCCCTGATGGGGGACTTTATCCAGAATGGCCACGGTCACACACCGTCGTAGCCATTCCAAGTCACTGCTATCCTGTCTTCGCATGTCAGAGGCAACTCTCCTGCGAGCGACGATAGCGAACGAAACTTCGTTTCTAGCGAAGCTACCTTCGATAGCTTCGAGTAGTAATAGGTAAGCTAGCACACATAGTCGTAACTCGTTCCTCGTCACGAGGTACGTGCACTAGCTCCTATATCCCACCACCATCCCCGGATCTCCACCAGGACGATAGTAGTGCGAAAGTAGATAGCTAGCGAGCTAGCCGAGCGACGACCAGACGGACAAGCAACACAGCTAGCACGGACGTTCTTTTGTCTGGAGTGGCAACTATCCCAGGTTGCCTGGAGATAACTGATAGCCTTCGGCTATCTATCCCCACGCATCGCCACTCAGGCTACCAGGGATCTAGCTTTCTGGCCTTACGGCTAAACTTGGACACCCTATCCGGGGTCCCTCGCTTTCGCGTGCCTAGCTCCTGGTAGAAGCTATCTGCATGCGCGAGTAGCCGGCCCAGAACACGCCACTGGAATTCCTCTCCTTTCAGATCTATCCTCTGAGAGGGATCGAATTCCTTGAACTCCTCGTTTGTGAGGTCATCCGCTAGCTGGTTGATGTCTCTCCGTATCCACTGGAGCTGTAGCTCACAGTTTTTCTGGGATAGCTCTTCTGCTATCTCCATTAAAACTAGCATGGAGGGATACTTGGTCGTCATAGCCTTCTTCACAAGTGCCTCATTGGACTTGTTATCCGTATAGCCGCGGATGGCCACTCGCGAGGTCTTCCTATCCTCGCCCTCGGGGACCCAGAGACGTATCCCCACGAGGGTCGCTAGCAGTTCTAGCGCAGCTATCACTTTCTTGGGGTCGCCTTTGGCAAAGGCCCACGGAGCCCAGGCCCTATCCACTTCTAAGGAAAACCAGGGACCTGGCTTCCCTCCGGAAATCTCCAGGAAGCCACCTATCCAGGCCCTATCGGACTCAGCTTTAGCATCCGTGAAAAAGCTCAGTGGAGGTAGCCCGGCGTAGAGAGTCACGGGACGCTGTAGCCTCTCTCCTTGGTCAAGCTTGTCGGCTAGCCACCGCATCAGCACCCGGAGCATCGTCGGGATGATGAGGTAGCCGGACTTCCCTTGAATGGCTGCGCTCCACGCGTGGAGCGGCCCCAAGAAGGGCCTCTGCCAATCCAAGGCTATCGCAGCAAAGCCTAGCCGACCTAGCCCCTGCTGCATCTCCTTGGCCGTGACTTTGCCGAAGGTCACCTTGTCGTTTAGCCACGCCGATAGCCAGGACGCCCGCTTCTTGGACATCCCTAGCCTGTAGGAGGAGTACTCTGTCTCCATTCCCAGCCACTCCACCCTATAGCCACCACGAGTCTTCGCCCATTTGAAAGGATATCCCAGAACAGAGAGGAAAAGGTAGCTCAACGGGATACCCTTCCTCCCCTCCGTTCCTATCCCCAGGGCCTCGAGGTCATCGGCATATAGAAGGAGGTCGATGGGATAGCCGGGTCCCAACAGATGATGGGTTGCCCGTAGCCCACATGCGGCTATCCGGGTCCACCAGTAGCTAGCCGGCGAGAGTCCGAACGTGCCCACTTTGTTGACGTAGACGATCTGGCTATCCGGGTCCCCGGGGATCGTCTCCTCGGTGTCTATCTGGCAGCCCATGAAGCCGTGCTCGCTAGCCTGGTGTTTGTATCTCCGGTGGGCCTTCGAGATATCCCCCACGACCGAAAAGGCAATCTCGCCACAGCGTATCAGCTCTCGGAGGATTTGCTTCTTTTCTCTAGCCCCTGGCGCCCGGATCTTATCCCGGCAGCGTATCCGGTGGTTAACCCGGACGCCGTGGGTCGCGTCGTGGATTATCCGCTTCTTGTCCTTCTCCTCGTCCTCGACTATCACGGCCAGGGAGGCGATAGCCCGGTCCTCGCCGAACCTCGCCTTGAACTCGCCGAGGGTCATCCTCTCCATGAGGCCTTCCTCGACGTCCTCGTCGAACTTAGCCCGCACAAAATCCCTGTGGTCGCTAACCGAGGAATAATTCGGAACCCATGCTAGCGCCGGCTCCCAAGGGGCGTTGTCTAGCCTCCAGGAGGATTGCTCCTCGAACACGTGCGGTGTTCTGGGTAGCCCCTCCAATATCCCAAGTGGGAGTCCCTCCTCGGCCCGGCGGAGGAAGTCCCTATCCGGGTCGCCTGCCGCCTCGAGGATCGCACGAAGTAGCCGTAGACGAAGGGGCTGCCCAGGAGGAATATCCAGTAGGCCAGGTTCGCTGAGGTCCTGACCTTCTATCCAAACTTGCAGGAGTTGCAGTAGCTCTTCGTGTAGTTGGCTATCCCGGACGAGCTTGCAGGCCGACTCGCCTCCCATAGCCATTCGGAAGGCCTCCTTTTCTAGCTCGTTCTCGGATCCCACTCGCCTGGTTACCATCTCCCGGATCTTAGCCCTCAGCCAGTCCCAGGACTCGCCCGCGGCATGTCCACGAGAGTGTCGGGGCCAGCGCCCAGGAGAGCATAGCCCGCCACCGTCGTGGAATTCCTTTATCCCGTCGTTTTGATGGCATCGGCGGGGGGGTCCCGTGCCACCATGTAGCCGTGGGCCCTCTGGTTGGTTTGTAACATAGTCGAGGTCGCCGGAACTCACCTTATCCTGCACAGTCGGTACCCCCTCTCCGGAGGCAGTCGGAGCAGTAGCCGTGCAGGTTGCCAGGGCCAACTGTGCTAGCCATCGGCAGAAGTTCGAGGGCCACTCGCCAAGCGTCTCCTTAGCCAGCATGGGGCTTTGCGGCGTCGATGAAGTAGCCGCCTTCGGCAAGGGGCCCAGATAGTAGCCATCGTTGTCGAAAGTGGGGAGGCCTTCGTGCACGGTAGCCGGCATTTCCAGAGGTGTCTTCAGTAGCAGTCGTGTCGGTTTCGCCGAGGGTGCCCCGAAGTTATCCAGGTGCAGGGCCACCGAACGTAGCCCGAGGCCAACTAGCCGTGCATGAGCCTCCCATTGCCACATGCTGGCCGGTCGCCGGCCTTTGTGGGGGCCAGCCGGCATAGCCCCCAGGTCTTCTGGCTGCTCCAGGACGAAGAAGGTAGCCGAGGAAACCGCAGCACTAGCTATTTCAAAAGAAAAATCAGCAAAAATGTTGCCAAGAATAGCCCGGTCTCTCTCCTTGGCCGTGAGTGTAGCCAATCCTCTGGGCTCGTCGAAGCTTCGGACTGGCCGGGGACCTTTACGGTTAGCCGAGCTCGCCCTAGAGAACGTCGCCACAGGGGGAGACATAGCCACGATGTCGTAGTGGCCCGATTGAACTTTGTGGAGGTACTTCGCCCTCTCCTTGGAAGTAGCCAGGTCGATGGGCGGACTCCTCGCCAGATCCACACAAGAGATATCAATATCGAGCCCGTAGGAAGAGACTAGCCGGCGGAGGTGGCTTTGGAAGCTACCTAGCCTTTCTCTTCCCGAGAAGAGGTAGAGAGCCTGTAGCCGCCGGTGTGTAGGTGTCGCCTCAGGTGTAGCCGAAGTAGCCGGCTCAGGCACCGGTAGTCAGTTGGCCGCTGTCGACGTCGACGGCGTAGCCGCGCCGGGGCAGTTGATAGCCGAATGTGGTCCCCGACACTTCG